GAAAAGCACAATAAAAATCATTAAATGTTCTACTAATGTAATACATGTGCATCACTGTATATAAAATATGACTGTAGTTGCTAACACCTTTTCTCTAGCAAATTTGAGCATATTGGCTATCTTTTGTCTTTTTTTCCTTAAACCGGTGGTCATCAGGAGGGATGGTTCTGAATATTCCTGCAGAAGCTCCATGTCAGTGATGTCTTAAAGCACATCCTGCTTTAATCTCCATTTTACTTAAACTGCATTTGACTGATTTATGAAAATGGTTATCACACTGTATCAAAGAAGACCTAAAATTAAACAATAGACACCTTGAGGTCCTTTATATTTTAAGGTAAAGACCCTACAATAATACAGAGTAAACCCCAACAATCACATGACTCCCTATGAGCAAGCACTTGGCAACAGTTGGAAGGAAAAAGTCCATTTTGATAGGAAGGAAACATCTGGTAGACCCAAGCTCAGGGAGTGGAAGTCATCTGCAGCGACTGGTTGCGGGAGAGGGCAGAGACAGGATGAAGGATGCACTGTGGAAGAGAACGAGAGATTAATAACAAGTAACAAGTAGAAAATGCATTTTTTGAAGAAACTGCAGTGTGAATGCTGATCGCTGAATGTTTTGAGCAGAAATGAAATGATTGCTAAAGTTAAGCTAAAAATGTTAAATGAGCTGAAAAATACAGAATTTTTTATCTGAAAAAAAGTGCAGAACTGTTGAAAGCTGAAGTTCACACAGAAGAAGAGGTTGAAAAGTAGCTGAGCATGTTTAAAATGTGCATTTGAAAAAGATGAGTAATGACAAAAGAAAATTTAAAGTCAGGAAACTTCTGAATGAATATTTAAAGTTTGTATCTGTTTGTTTTGAGAGATGCCTCAAAACAAATAGGTTTTCCGCTTAGGCAGCGGTTGTCCTTCTCTCCTGGATCAGCTGGAGCTTTCTTTTGGCACCTGAAAAAAGTCCCAGCTGGACTTTTGTCAAAGCTGGGAAAACCTGTAGTGATCCCGTATGTGTCAGGAGTATGGGAACAGTTGAGACGGATTTTTTCTAAACACCATGTCTCTGTGGCTTTTAAACCCCAAAACACGCTGAGCCAAAAATTGGTCCACCCCAAGAATCGTGTCACCAGACACAAACAGAGTAACATAGTGTACGCTGTTAAGTGCCAGGAGGATTGCCAGGATTTATACATGGGGGAAACCAATTACGTAGCTCCACCTGTACGTTCAAGTAGTATTTGCTACAAACAAATACGGAAGCTTAATCAGCATCCACACTAATTAAATGTAAAGTTGTGTATTCTGTACCTCACATACGTGGCAGCCTTTTAAAGAAACACAGCATCACCAGCTACCCTTTCTGGACTCTCGTCCATGTATGAAATACTCCTGTCTGGAGTAATCACACTACCCGCAACTATAGTATTACTATAGTATTACTCTCAGCAGTGAGGCATTAGCTGGTGGCAGCGTTGACCTTTAGAATCAGAATCAGAAGATCAGAATCAGAATCAGAATGGGGTTTATTGCCAGATGTTGAGGTTTACAACATTAGGAAATTGCTGCGGTGCTTCAGTGCAAACAATAAGAATTAAAGTGCTATGTAGAAAGAAAGATATGTGCATGAGATATACATGAGATATATACATGAGAATAAGAATTATGAGTGCTACGTAGAAAGATATATACATGAGATATATACATGAGAATAAGAATTATGAGTGCTACGTAGAAAGATATATACATGAGTGCAGGTGGTGATCAGTGCCAAACATGGAATGAGATGATGCAGTGACACAGCGTAGGGTCATGTGTTAGTGGTGGGAACAGTCATACGGTTATTGTTCATGTGTCCAACAGCAGAGGGGAAGAAACTGTTCTTATGGCGAGAGGTTCTGGTGCGAATGGACCGGAGCCTCCTGCCTGAGGGGAGCAGGTCAAACAGACTGTGTCCAGGGTGAGAAGGGTCAGCTGAGATCCGAGCTGCACGCCGCAATGTCCTGGAGGTGTACAGGTCCTGCAGAGATGGGAGTCTGCAGCCAATCACCTTCTCAGCAGAGCGCACAACACGCTGCAGTCTCTGTTTGTCCCTGATAGTGGCTCCAGCGTACCACACGGTGATGGAGGAGGTGAGGATGGACTCGATGATTGCAGTGTAGAACTGCATCATCGTCCGTGTTGGCAGGTTGAATTTCTTCAGCTGCCTCAGGAAGTACATCCTCTGCTGGGCTTTCTTGATGACGGAGGTGATGGTGGGCTCCCACTTCAGGTCCTGGGTGATGGTGGTACCCAGGAAGCGGAATGAGTCCACAGAGGTGATGGGGGTGTCAGTCAGGATGATGGGGGGGAGTGGGGCTGTGTGCTTCCTGAAGTCCACAATAATCTCCACTGTCTTCTGGGCATTCAGCACCAGGTTGTTGTGGCTGCACCAGGTCACCAGACGTTCAACCTCCCTCCTGTAGGCAGACTCGTCCCCGTCCGAGATGAGCCCAATGACGGTGGTGTCATCTGCGAACTTGATTAGCTTGACAGACTGGTGGGTGGAGGTGCAGCAGTTGGTGTACAGGGAGAAGAGCAGAGGAGAAAGAACACAGCCCTGAGGGGAGCCGGTGCTGATGGTCCGGGAGTCCGAGACATTCTTTCCCAGCCTCACATGCTGCTTCCTGTCCGTCAGGAAGTCAGTGATCCACCGGCAGATGGGATCAGGCACATTCATCTGGGAAAGCTTGTCCTCGGAGATGGTCTGGAAGGATGGTGTTGAAGGCAGAGCTGAAGTCCACAAACAGGATCCTGGCGTAGGTTCCTGGGGAGTCCAGATGCTGCAGGATGAAGTGTAGGGCCATGTTGATGGCGTCGTCTACAGACCTGTTGGCTCTATATGCAAACTGCAGGGGGTCCAGGAGGGGGGCCGTGAGGGTCTTGAGATGGGAGAGAACCAGGCGCTTTATCAAGCGTACATAGCTGCTGAGCCAACTACCACCCTAGCTGTCGTCATTAACTACATTCTGCCGAGTGAGGCTGTCTGTAGAGGTGGTTTGTGTGTACGTATCAGTGCAACTGTGCAGGGCCCTCGTCTGAGGGGCCTTCACTGAGATTTCCTGTGGCATCTGTTGGATTTTCGCACGTGCTAATCGGGTTCACGGCACCGCGATCAGAAAACAGGCCAACTGCCTTAGCTCCATGCTGCAACTTATTTCACTTTCACAAAGTTCCCATCTATTTTAGGAGGGCAATCCAATTTGTGGAAACTATTCTTGCACTGAAGCGAGCCATAAAGAGCCTGAGATCTGTCATTAAAATCCACAGTTACTGCCTCCATTCCCCGCAGAACATATGAATATCACTATGCTGTGTTTTCATCTTCTACAGCCAATACAGGACCTTAGCTGCTCTGGTAAGCACAAATGAATCGACTGCCATGCAGAGGTTAGCGATGTAGCATTCTGACAAGTCTTTATTTCCTCTAATGGCAGAAAGAACAGTCCTGTTGAAATGAGTATGAGAGATAACAGCCTCATCATGAAGCACTAAGTGAATGCACACAGTGCTTAAACAAGTACAGATCAATTCCTTCTGCAAACTTCACGTCATAGGAAACAAATATTACCAAAGCAGTGTTATATAGTCATAAATATATAGCTCATTGTAGCGTGCCATAAACCCAAAAAGCAACAGAGTTTATAATAAGGGCGTCTGTGCTGGTTTGAAAACTCCATTCATGAAATAATGGCACTGCATTATCTGATGTACTCATCCCATATCTCTCTGTTCAGCAGGACAATTCATACAACCTGTTATCTCTCATGGGAAGACATTAAGAGCAGGATGTCCACCGACTCAGGTCCAGACACTCATCTGTCCAAGTGCCATTCCCATAGAAAATGAGCCATTTAAATATACTGCAAACATGATGCTATCTTTGCATTGATAACAGCCACAGTGGGAATACGGGCAGTGGATACGATGATCATATAGTATAAAGATCCGGAGCATTTTTATCATAAATATAAAAACTCTACATCTTTTTTGTTAAAAATAAGTAGAGGCTTCACACATATTTGCAGACAAACATGTCTTTAGTGACAAGGCTACAGTGTCACAGAGGGAAACAGGCTTAAACTTTGCAGCTAATCTCAACAGTCCTTTGAGCCTTTTAGCCAAAAGGGCATGGACATGGTCTGTCAGTCATGTACGTCAGAAAGGGCTCCTAGTCAAGACACCTGCAGTGAAGATGACTCTGACTAGAGAAAGTACTCTCCTAATTTAACTTGAATTTATTCTAATTTATCAAATGCAGAAAAAATCTCATTTTTAAACACCTGCAAATTGTAATATTTACTATTAATCATATTGAAATGATGAATTTAATGTGACTCAAGCGCAAAGGGAAGTTGGAAAACTTCTGTGATTTCATATATAAAAAAGGCAGGTTTTACTCGAGCTTTGGCTGTCCTGGAAGGGAATAATATTTACTGAGTGTACCTCACTATTGGGGTGAAGGTGTGACTAAATTATGGGTTATCTGTGCAAAGGGGATTCCTGACTGTTTATGCAATTACAGGTAAACTTTGTAGCTTTTTAAGCGCCATAAATTTTTATTTTTAAATGCAAAAATAGGGTCTTAAACCAAGTCCTGGAAATCTAAGGTGTTGAGCCCCTTCACTGGTGCAATGTTTAGGTTTAATTTAAGGGATGTGTCCCATACACTTAAACCGTGATCATTAATAAGATGAATAAATATAGAAATATATATTAAAAAAATTGGTTTATTAATTAGATATACAGCCAGTCACATTACAATATCATAATAGTGAAATAACACAAGCCCAAGTGAAGGTATTTGGATTTCTGACATGGTTTACTTTTAAAAGAAAATTAACTTTTACAAGTCAACCAAGTTTTCCCAAACTAAAGTCTAGTCTACTTTTGATTTGCAGCAGCGTGTAAATAGTCGGTAACATGATGCCGGCGGTCGGTAACATGTTGTTTGTCGCCGCAAAGTTTAGTTTCGGTTTTCTGTGAAGTGCGTAAGGGAAAGCGAAACTGACTGACCGATTATCTTCACACATGAGGGTTATGTCGGTGCTGTGTCGCTGCTGTAAAGTAATAATGCATTGGTTTGGATACAATGGGATTCGCTCGCTTTGGCACTGGATAGTGCGCAACAAGAATCCTTTACTGTTCTTGCTTTTTCCACTGGTTCCACTGTTTAGATTTTTAACTTATTCAAAGAAAGACGGAAATGAGCCTGAAACAAGCGACGACAACACACGTCTACTCAGGAATTCACTTGACGATGAAGAGAAGGTTATTAGTGCCGGACAGAAGAGGACCTCAGACGAAGATGGGGTGCCCGTGAGCAAGCGAGCAAAGTCTAACCAAGAGGACTTTCAAAATGATCGAGTTGAGACCGCTGCTAAAAATGTGAGTAAAGAAATGAACATTTACAGTAACAGATGATCATGCAGGTTTCTCACCAAACGTTTTAAGTTCGTATTCTGTGAATGTAAAAAACAGAATTGATCAACTGTATAACAGGCAACTTGGAGATACAAACATGGCACAATGCCGTGGTTTGCTCTTTACTTTATTCCTTTTAGGTTTCTATGGTACACCCAAATAAGTCTGAAATACGCACAGAAAATGCAGTTGACGAAGGGAAGAAGCTGACAAGGTCGGAAGAAGAAGAGGAAGAGTTTGACAGCACAGAGTATCGAGTTCACACGACGGATGAATTCTACTGCGACTATGATTCAACCTGGGAGACCGACCCGAATGGGGAGAGCCCACCCAGCAGGATCAGACGGCCAACAAACTCCAACTATGTAAGTAAGCCAGTGCCTGTCACAAGTGCTTTGATTTTCCACGTCTGCTCAAAAATCATTTACTGCAGGCATAAAAGGAGCCACCTGTCACAGGCCCAAGGTGTTAGATGGCCCCTCCAGAGAACTTTATTGAGGTGATAGCTCTGTTCACATTTCTTGATTTTTCCTGCAAGAAAAAATCACAAAGATGGCTCAAAAAAACAACAAAAAGCCAAAGAAAGACATTTAAAATTTCCCAAAAGAGATTAAAATCAGTGGGAAAAATAAAATGGACATAAATAACAATGGTGAACAAAGAAGTAGATAACCAGAAACATTTTTAGAGTGGTGACTACATTTTGTGTTGTGAAATATATCTCTGAAATAATCAATATGAGATCAACAAATGAATACAAAGAGCCACAGAATGACATATGCACAAAGACAGAAACCCATTTATTGTAAATAAAGATGGAGGGTCTCCAAGGATGATCTTTGGGTTACTGAATGTCTCCTTTAGCTGTGCAGTGTTACCCCTGAACTTCATTTGTCTTCTGTGTTCCAGTACAAGTTCAGTAGATTTGAACGTGCTGCGAGAGACATGCAGAACTACAGACATGACTACCCTGTAAGTCTCACACACACTGTAAACACACACTCTCATGTTTAAGCACAAGCCAAACACATGTTGTTCTTTTATGTGTCCCTGCAGAACCAAATCAAGACACAGCACAGGAAGAAGAACACAAATGTATGTACACGTTTGTTTTTAGATTTATTTCAAAGAAGAACAAATTAAATGGTTTGAATCAAATTCTTTTCTCTTGTGTAGGACGACAAGTCTAATCTGAATTTCTACCTTGGAAAGAAACGATCGGTGCCAGACGGTAGGCCTTTTTAGTAGAACAAAGTATAGAGTCAAGTATGTCCATAAAGTGGAAGTGAAATAAATGTTTTTCTGTAATTTATTTGTTCAAGAATGAGAGCTTATAAAATTCATTATTTTATTCAACTAATCCTCTCAATATCTACACGTCATCAGAACCTTCAGTGGCCTTAAACGGTACTGATATTACACAAGAATGCTATAATCATGAGATGTCAAAAAAAAAGATATTTTTTGATACTGACATCAGTTTGAGCCACCTCAGTGATCACTGGATAAATCGTAATCTGTGCAGCTTCATTTACAAACAGATTTATTTGCTGTGACTTGTATTTGTTACCAGGTGTCAGCATAACTGAGTTCCATGAACAATGGTATGGAGACTATGAAAGCCTTGAGTACGTGCACACATACATTCAGTGGTAAGTTAGTCTATAGTCACAAATATGATGTAAAAAGTTCAGTTCCAGTTTGTAACGACATTTTCTCTCAAAGGTTGTTCCCACTGCAAGAACCAGGAGTGAACTATGAGGCCAGTACACTGACAAAGGAAGAAATTACGGTAAACCTGTGAAAGTTACCAAGTTATAATTTAAAATTAAAACATGTCTTATACACTGATAGAGGTTCGATTTTTCCTTCAGGATTTTCTTAATCACAGCCTTGCACAGGAAAACCTGCTGAAGTCGTACAAGCTCATGTTGGACTTTTATGGTATCGTGTTGTGTGATGAAAAAACTGGAGAAGTCAGGAGAGCAAAGCATTGGGAAGAAAGATTTGACAACCTTAACAGGTAAAACTACCTCAGAATTTAAAAAAATCTGTGTGCAGTAAAAGTGACAAAGCTATACATTATCTAATTTTGGGACTGATCACTGTCTGACAGTCACACACACAACAGCCTGCGCATCACTCGCATCCTGAAGTGTCTGGGAAACCTGGGTTACCGTCACTACCAAGCCCCTCTGGTCCGCTTCTTCCTGGAGGAGACTCTGGTCAACGGACAACTTCCAAACATCAGGGACAGCGTCCTCAGCTACTTTATGTTTGCTGTACTTGATAAGAAAAAGCGCAGACGTCTCATCAAGTATGCATATTTGCATTATGAGCCTAAAGATGAGTTTGTGTGGTGCCCAAAGCAAATCCAAAACTTTTGGTCAATGCAGCCCAAGGCAGCAAAGGAAGAGGCCGCTGACTCTCTGGAGTCGCAGGAGGACACTGTGATTTCTGACAGTGAAGCACAAGAAGAGGAAAAACTGTCTGCAGATGAGTCGTGTAACAATGCAGAGTATGAGTCTCGTGAGGGTGAAGAAACTTTCAGCCATAATGAAGATTGATTGATGACAATGAAAAGCTTATTCATCTTATGCTGAATAATACTGATAAATTGCACTGAAGTATGGAGTGATTTAGTTCGACACTGTAGATCTTAGATTACTAGCAGGTTATTGTGCTTCACACACTGAGTCAAAGGGCTTGATTCTTTATAGAAATGTTTGTTTACTTCAATATTTACAACTTAAAGTTTCGATTTTTGTTCGCAATTAATTCTTTTTCTGAACATAAATAATGAAGCGTTCTGAAATGGATGCATGTTTTACACAAAATTCAAGGGTTAATGTTATTGTGTGACTATGTGGGATCAATTACTAAATGTTTTTGCGTTCTTGTGTCTAGAATTAAAACATTCTCATTCAGAAAGTTCACATCTTGTTGTTTTATATCTGTCTTAATTTCCTTTCAGAGTTGCATATTCAAATCGCAGGTTAGTAAAGGTTGTGGCCAAAATAAAATTAGAGGGTGGCAAGATAAAGAATGTTACAGTCAGTTACAAAGTTAATTCATGTATTACTACAGTTGGTCACTTTACAAAAGGACATAAAAATCTCTGACAGACTCCCAAATATTGCAGCCCATCAAAGGTTAACAGCCTCAACTGTTCACTTTCTAATTCTGTCACCTGACTCCTTACACCAGCAATCATCACAGCTAAACAACAATGTGAAGGCAAAGAAATTACACACAACTTTAAAGTTGAATACTTGCTCCGTTAATATTTGAAAGAAAAGGGTTTTTAAAACCGAGGCAAATTTCATCAAATGGGTTCAAACAGTTGAGCTGAAACAAAAATAGCTCGTGTTCCCATCAGACTGTGAGCACCATCTTTTGCAGGCTCCACAGAGACAAAGGGAGAGCATTTAGATTTCTTTCTTTTTTTAAAAAGAAAAATCACCTAAATCGACAGCATGGATGGGAACAGCAGGAATGTAACTGAGAATATTGCTGAAGTAAAGCTTTAATGTACTTTTACCTTATTTAGGTATTTCTATGCCACTTTCTGCTTTTACTCCACTGTGTTTATAATGCAAAGATTAGACGTTGTACTCCATGCTGAAAGGCAGAGGAGAGCGAGCGTTCTCAATTGCAGGTCCGATGCTTTGGAATAACCTTCCCCTCCATATTAGACAAGCGTTATCAGTGCAGGTCTTTAAGTCTAGATTGAAGACCTATTTTTATTCCCTGGCTTGTAACTTTGCAGGAAACTGACACCTTTCTTATTAATTTTATTGTATTTTTAATAATTTTATTGTATTTTTAATTTTGCTAGTTGTTTTGATCTGTGTTGTTCAGCACTTTGGTCTGCCTGGTGTGTTTTTAAAGTGCTATACAAATAAACGATGATGATGATGATGATGATGATGATGTGAATGATTTTAAAGCTCTGATTTCTTGCTTTTATTATTTTGCAGATAAATTGCATTCCTATATATCAAGTTACCCAG